CCCGAGCCACGCTCACGCCGCCCCAGTAGTGGGCGCGGCTGGCCACATTGACGATGCGGCCGCCATCGCCAAAGGCGGGCAGCAGGAGGCGCGTCAGCAGGTATGGGCCGAGGTGGTTGGCGCGCAGGTGGCGGTCTGTGCCGTCTGGTAAGTTGGGAGGCCCCATGATGCCTGTTTTCGGGGGTGGAGATGGGGATGGGGCGGGGTTGTGACGGTGTGTCGGAAGGGTACAAGTAACAAGGTCAAACTGAGTGGGGTTTGGCACCAAGAGAGCTGATTTGTGACAAGAGGTCGTTATGTGGAGGGATGGCAGCGCACTTATCGCCGGTTTTCCCCGCCTGGCTGACCAGATTGAAAGGGTGTTAGCAGAAAGCTAGGGGCGGCCGTGCAGACTGCCTTTCCTGATATGACATGCTCCATGCCGCAGCCGCAGCCCATGTGCACGAAGCAACCATGCACCCCCCAAACCCAAACCGGTCCTTAACGGTCAGCTGCAAGCTGCCGAGCAATCGCACCATGCGTCATCGCGCCATGACGCACCTGCGTTGTTGACCAGCACCCGCAGCTGTCGGCCGCCCTTGCGCAGCGCCGCGCGGTGGCGGGCGGCGAACTCTCGCACCGACGAGTAATCCTCCAAGTCCACCCTTGAGGGGTTGGGAGGGGCCGACGTCGCATGGGGAGGCGAAGGAGCGTCGTTGGGAAGAGGAAGACGAAAGCATGCACATTGAGAAGCATGCCAGACGAAAGGGCGGCCGCGAAGTATGGATCGACACGGCTGCTTGTGTTGCCGCACGCGCCAGCAGGCCCTGCAGATTGCCTGCCAGCAGGCTCCCGCTTTGGGTCCAAAGCGGGAGTTATCAGGCTGGCCGCTGCTCGCGCGGCCAGACTCTCACCTGGAGCACTCGCAGGCACCCTGAGGGTGCGCGGCCGCCAGCTCAGCAGACACCAACTCGCAGGCCTCCATGTTGCGGCAGGCGAGGACCACGTGGTGGCCCCGCGCCATGAGGCCGGCCGCCACCTCCTTGCCTGCAGGGGCGGGGACGCGGCGGCGGCCAAGTGGCGGGTGCGGATCCGTCCCGCACGGCCGGTGAGGTGGGCGGCATCTTGAGGAAATAACAGCGGGTTTTCAGCCTGGCGCTCGCTGGGGGTGTCCCCGAGCGCAGCGCTGTTGCGCGGTGTGCTGCGCGTGTTTCAAGTGGTTTTTGGCGGGCCGCGCGTGAGGCTGGTGCTCCCCGCAGCGCACCGATCCCGCTGTTGGCGCCAGTCACGATGCAGTACTCCTTAGACGCGCCCATGCTGGAGCGACTACGATGGCGGCGGAGGCTGTGACGGCCGAGTCGCCAGGCGAAGCCGCACGCGCAGTGCAGCGAGGGGTTGTGCAGCAGTGGGATCACATGCGATCAAGCCCAGGTGCAACGGCATGCCGCAGCAGAAGCAGATCAACAACTGTGATGCGTTTCATTGCCATTTCAATGTAACAGTAGAAGCGATCGAAGCTATCAGCCAACACGAAACCGGCGCCACACCGCACACTCACCGACTCCTTCATCCGCATCACACGCGCAGTTGCAGCACCTACTTGCACCACATCAACAACTGGATCAATTTTTTTGTACATATAAGAGTTGATCAGAGCCCTCTTGCTGACGGTGGTCGTGTCACGGTGAATCCCGCGAGTGTGCAGCAAGCGCCCCTGGACGCGGCTCGTCGGCTCAGTGATACAGGTGAGGGCACATGTTATATTTCAAGCTTACAGGCCATGGCCCTATGCGGTGGCGGCACCATCCGGGCAGCCGCGCTTCACGCACACTTTCGCCGCCGCCCGCATCAGCACATGCGCACAGTCCGTGCGTGCAGCTGAACTGGTGCGGGACACAAACACCGCCCACAGGCATGCCATACAGCTGTGTGCTGAATTCTCCGCTCGCACTTTGGAATGGCGTTGATCCTCCTGTTGCACTGCACGGCAACAGGTGCCAGCCGGCGCGGAGGCCACCCAACCTATCGCCATCAGCACCACTACCGCCGGCTCCACACATGGACTCTATGCTCGAAAGCATCGGCCAGGGGCCCGTGTCCCCAAAGGCGCTCCTGAGCAGCGGGGACCTACCGCAGCTGGAGGCGGCCGCGGCGGCGCTGGCCACCGCGGGCGCGGTGGCGCCGCCGTCACCGGCGGCGGCGGCGGCGGCGGCGGCGGGCATGCGGCACGTCAGGAGCTTTGTGGACTGCGAGGAGGTGGGGGCTGTGCAGGATGGGCCGCCCTTGATGTTGGGCGAGGGTTTCTAAAAGTGAAACGGCAATGCCGCGGCGCCTCCTGGATAGGGTGCTGGATTTATTGGCAGGTGTCGGCGATTTGTTGTTGGGTGTCGGCGCGTGGCTGCCAGGGATGCAAGTGCTGCTCAATTTCTGGACCCCGTGCTCTTGTCGTGACTACAATGTGACACCAGTAAGAGCACTGCAAGCACACACCCGCCTCTGACTTCATACAGGTCCAATCACCCACCGCTAAACCAGGCATTCAGCAAGGTATCACACACCTGATGGGCCAGCGCAACCCTATGACACACCCGCACAGGTGCTGCTGCAGGCGTCACTTGAAGATCCAAAGCCGACGGCCGCCCCGCAGCCGCGCCGCGCGGACGGCCTGCTTGAGGGCGGGGAGCTGCGGGCGGTCCAGGAGGATGAGGATGAGATGGCACAGGTGGGTGGGCGTGCGTGTGTTTGCGTGCAGGCTTCAGTCTGTGCATGCGTGAGGGCGGGCTGCTGTCCGGCTGAGAGTGCGTGCGTACGTGCGTGCGTTTTTTTGCCTGCCCGGGTGTGAGTTTGTGTGTGTGCATATGTGCGCGGGCGCGCGCGTGGGAGCATGCGGAGCATGGCGCATGGTGGTTGCTGGTTTCGAAGGGGGTGAGAGGGGGTAGTTGTGTAATTGGTTGCCTGTCACTTTAGGTGTAGCTTGCAGTGTATGTGCGCAGGTGCACACGAAAGCGTGTGCCTGCTCTTTGCATGGTGGTGCAGTGAGCTGCGTTCTCATGCCTACCTAGTTAAGATTTGAGCGTACAGGCACGACTGCATGCACACGTGTAGTATGCATGTATGCCGCGACTCACATGCACCATCGCGCCTCTGCAGGTCGTCATTGTGTGTGAGCCCGAGGGGTCTTCCCTGATGATGGGCGGCCTGCACCCCCGCGGCTCCCTTTTTGAGCGCCCCGTCAACATCGAGAGCGCCAAGGCCCACCACACCAACTTCAGACAGGCGCGGCGGCGCACCACTCGGGGAGTGGGCCGCTCATCCTCACCACCGCTGGCTTGCGCGTTTGTGTTTGGCTCGGTCTTTTGCCACAGCGCCATGGCTTTGCCATTCACAAGCCTGTGTCCTTGCGCTTCACGCAACCCCAACCAGACAAAGACCCTGGTCAGATCTGAGACATAGGCTTCCCCAGCAGCTGCGACGCGCCGCGCGCGCCCCGCTGACCATGCGCATGCATGGCCGGCCGCGCCAACTCGCCGCCCGCGTGCGCAGGTGCTGCGGGACCACGGCGTGCGCGTGCTGACTGTGCGCGAGATTCTGGCTCACGGCGTGGATGAGCACATGGGGGCGCGGGTGGCGCTAGAGGACTTGGCTATGGCCACACTCACATACCAGGTGGGGTCCCCCGGGGTAGAGGGGGTTGTTGGGAGTAGGGGCGCGGCGGTGCGGTGCCGCGGCTGCGTAGGGGATGATGAGGCAGCGGTGGTGCGTGTCGCTTGTTGGCCGCTCGTGAAAGTCTGGCTGCCGCCGCGGCGAGGGAAGGGTGCGAGGGGGCGGTGTTTTGGGGCGTCGGCGCTTCTCCTGCGCGCTGGAAACGCTCCCCGCTCTCCTTGCATGCGGGCGGCAACATCAATCGTGGTGGCTGCCTAGCCCCTCCCCCCGCCCCGCTCCTGCTTACATGATGTGTGCGCCCGCAGCTGCCTGGCGGCTGCTCCTTGTGTGAGGTGGCTGAAGCTGACCGGCGCTACCTGGCAGACAGCTATAAGAGGGAGGTGGGCCTGCCTGACCAATCAACTGTAGTTTGACTAAATTCTCAATTGACCGATTGATTGAGTGGGTTGTTTGTTTTCGTTGTCCAGTGCTACGCCTGGCATGGACGCTTGTTGTGACTTGTCGGACAGCCCATCATGTGCCAGTACCAGCTGCCTGTTCACCGCGTGGGTTCTTGGCGCATGTCGTGCAGCCCACCTGCCAAAGTGCATCCAACCGCCTTGTGCCCCGCGTCTTGTCCACCCATCGCAACCGCCGCCAGGTCATCGAGCACATGAGCGTCACCCAGCTGATCGACATAATCCTCATCAACCCGACGGTGACGCTGACGCCCTCGGGGCGCGACACCGGGCTGACGGCCTCATACACGTTTGAGCCCATGTCAAATCTGGTGTACACGCGCGACCAGCAGGTGCGCTGCTGGCGATCGGGCCCTCATGTGCAATCTTTGGTATTCAAAATGCAGTGTTTGGCGGATGGAGCTTTCTGCGTTTCTGCCGATTGAGAGCTTGTCAGCCCGCAGGGCGAATCGTGTCGTTTTTTGCTGTGGCGGATCGTCCGGCCCGCGCGCCGACCGCCTCCCACCTGGCTGCTTGCGGGCAGATCACGACGTGCCGTGGCATCGTGATGGGGAGGCTGCGCAGCCAGCAGCGGTTCAGGGAGGTGGAGCTCATGAGGTTCTGCTTCGACAAGCTGGGTGAGGGTGCTGAGGGTCGATCGGTGTGGGGGAGGGGGGTGGATCTCAGGTGTGGGGTTTGGGGTGTGTACGTAGGGCTCATGAGATGCTTTTCTTACCAGCTGGGTGAGGGTGCTGAGGGTCGGTCGGTGTGGAGGAAGGGGGGTGCGCAGAGGTCAGGTTTAGGATCCAGGGTTTAGGGCTTAGGGGTTTCTGTTCCGACTTGATAGCTGAAGGCGGGGAGGGTCGGTGGGGTGGGGTGCGAGAGGGGAAGGACGTCGCAACCTCGGCGGGCTCCGCCCGGGGTGCGAGACACTCAGGGCATCGCAACCTCGGTGACTGCTGTGTCTAGCACGCACCGAGTCCAGTGCCCTGTGGTCTGAGGTTCTGCAAGAGGTGGGAGATGCCCTGCCGTCAGTCTAGCTTGGAAGGCAAGGCTGCACACAACGGAATATTCCTTGGGATGAAGAATTCTTTGCAGGTAGCGATACCATCAACCTGAGCACGTTGGCTGACTGCAAGCCTGCTTCCGCCGCCCCCTCCTTTCTCCCAATCGGCGCGCTCGCCCAGGGCTGCCCATCATCGGCCAGATCGAGGCCCCCGGATTCTTGGAGGGCGGAGACTTTTTCCCCTTGGGCCGCGACCTGGCGATGGTTGGGGTCGGCCTGCGCAGGTCAGGAGACTGCTCCCACTCGCATTGAACGCCCCTGCCTGCTGCTTGTGCACCTACCCCCGCCCCCCCCCCTGCCCTGAGTCGGACCGGGGGGCTCGCGCGATTGCCGATCCGCAGCACGCCGCGGCGCGGCGGGCTGGGCTCCTCAACGCGGCTGAGCATGCGCTCTGCACCCACTGGCGTGAGTTGTTTGGGCCATGATTTGGCAACTTAGAGACACGTCCGCACGGCCCTGTTAATGGCTCCTTTGCTGCCTTCTCTGCATGCGTTCCCACGAACCACATACAGCAACGTCGAGGCTGCCCAGCAGCTGATGGAGCGGGACCTGCTGGGCACCAGGCGGCTGGCCGTGGTGAGGGATGACTACGATAGGCACCAGGTGGGTGTGGGTGGGGGGCAGGGTGAGCGAGGGTGTCTGCGTGTGTGTGTGCTTCAACCTTTTGTTGCAAGGGGGCGCTGCCGTCGTACGTGTGGTGTGTCGTGGGCGCGTGGTGCACATGCAGCGTTTCTTTCAACTGGCTGTGCCAACGTGCTAAGGACTGGCAGTTCGCCGGAGAGGTGTAGGCAGGTGCTGGCCTGGGCATGGAGGGTCCAAATTGTCGCCCTTTTGCCGGGTGCCAACTCCCCCCTATTAATGTTCCGCATCTGCCTGCAAACCCCGCAACTTCCGGCAACCTCAAAGTGCAAAACCGGACGGCAACCACGCGCATGCACGCAGGACCGGATGCACCTGGACTGCGTCTTCAGCGCCCTGGGGGGCAGCTGCTGCCTCATGCTGGAGGTGCGTCCCCCCGCGCAATCTCGACGGCCGGGGCCCCAACGCTCTTGCCCTCACGCGCCACCGGCTCGCTGCGTGCCGGCTGGTCGGCGGGGCGCAATTCAAGGGTGTCAGCGCTCTGGCCAGGGTGCTGCTGCTGCATGGCTCATGTCACCCCTGGGTCGCTGCTTACCCGGCCTGCCTGGTACACCCCTACTTCACATAGCGCCGCGATGAGCGGCGAATTTTGACGCTCACTCATACCCTAGGCACCTGCTCTGCGCTGAGATTTTCTTTCCACACATGCAAAATCGCCCCCTTGCATAGACCCGCTCTGGCTTATGCACAACGCATACAACGTACCCGCCCCCTCCACCCGCCATCAGGAGATCATGGGCGAGAGCTCGCCCATGCGGCGCCTGGTGGACGAGTACTGCAGGGACCCCGTCACGGGGCGGTACCGCCTCGCCAGGTGGGTCGGAAGTTATTACTCATGATTGGATGGGAGACGTGGCGCCGCGGCAGCTCTCATGTGTGACTCATAGAACGGGGCGGAGCCGGTGTGCGGATACTTGTGACCCACCAGGGCACGCCGGCGGTGGCCGCACTTAGCCGTTAACCCCCAGCACTGCTCATCTTCACAGGCCCCTCTTGTTACGCTTGCCTCACATCTTGCAACGCTGCGCAAATCATATCATCTCCACCGCCTGCAGGACCGCCGTCGAGTTTGCGTCCTTTATGGCTGCCGAGGGCTACTCCATAATCCCGATCAGCGCCCCCCACCAGCTGGCATACGCCTGCAACGTGCTGAACCTCGGACGCAGCCGCATCGTCAGCGTGCACGCGCCGAGCGCGCGGCAAATCATCAATCATCCAAGGTTCAAGGGGGACGTGCGGGTCATTGACTTTAGCAGTATCACCAGGTGGGGTGAGGGTGGTTGGGGGCGAGGGTGGGGGCTTGGGGGAAGGGGGCAGTCGCATGAGGTGGGGGAGTGCGTGTGTGGTGAACAAGGAGAGTCCCGCAATCCTTGAAAAGCAGGCAGCTGCGCCAGCATTGTTAAGCATTTGCAGTCAGGTGGTTGTTGGTCACCCCGCGCCTGCGAGCGTTGATGGCTGCGCAGTCCAGCACCAGCAGTCTGGAGGTCACGGGCGCCAGACCAACCGTCTCACCCTCTCCACACCTGCTGCTGCTTTCCAATCGCCCACCCCCTGTGCCGCACCCTCTCTGCTCGCTCTCCCACCTGCGGCCATGCGCAGCATGTACGGCGCCGCCCACTGTGCCAGCCAGGTCGTCATGCGCGTGCCCGCGCACCTAGCCAACCGAGTGTGAGCACGAGTGCTGCAGCCTGCGGCAAGCGGAAGTGTTCCAATCAACCTCAGGCCGCTGCCGCTTAAACTTGCCAGCCACCAGCCAAGTATGACATGTACGCCTCTTAGCATTTTGACCTGGTAGGAGCGCCATGGCAGGTGCTGCAGGCAGGGCAACGTGCATCGGCAGTAGACAGGCAAGGGCGCTTGATGGTCATGCGCTCAGTGGCGCGAGGCAGACGACGGGCCGAGCGGCTTTTAACGGTCTGCAGCCACCGGCGGTGGTTCGCCAAGCGTGGCCAGAGTTT